GAGCCAGAGACATACTGGCTGAGGCAAATGAGTTGTCCCTTTATTGTAGGGATAAAGTCAATAGCTAGTGAGTCACAATTACTCGTCTGTGTCCACATGGGCCTCATACATAGGCACTGAAAATAAGTTCCTGTCTCAAGCACTCCATTTTGCTTGTCAGTGCTTCAGAGACAAAGATAACCGGCTGTAATTGACATTTTCTACTTGTATTAAATTATTACTTTTTTTCACCAATGGCAGATTGACATTATTTGCTGGCTACACAGTAAAATGTTCCATGTTCAATTATACAGTATCTTGCACTTCTACATAAATTAACTCATAGAAACTCGTAGATATCACATTGCAAATTATATTTGAGTACCATGGAGCTTATTTTAACCCCCAAGGATAACTGATTAAGTAAATAAGGTATTCACATGTTTTTCCAGTGATGAGAAGTTCATATTTAGAGGTATAATGATGCCCAGCTCGTGGCAGAAAATACATATATCTGTTATAGATAATGAAAGGACATTGACTAACCATGCCTGAGCTCAATAAACCATATTTATCACAATATGTCTTCATAAGGTAAACTAGCCACTTCGAAATTCCACTCAATCAACCAACAACTCAACTTCAATCTGTGTTTTTTCTCATCATTGTGGGAGTAACCAAAGTTCTATTCTTCTTCACAATCATAGAAATTCATATCTCTTTCTTATCATTGTAGGAATAGCCAGGGTTATATTGTTTTTGACAATCAAAGAAACATAGACCATTCATATTACATGGTAGTTCTTCAATAATGGAGTCTTGCAACAAAGTAGTTCTTCAAATTCTTCAAATCCAGTAGTTCCTAACCTCTGCTATGAGTAATTACATAATACCATGAGCAATTGGAAATAATTGGGTAATAGCTGTCAGTAACTGCTTTGATTTACTTTAGAATGCATACAATCAATTTGAGTGAGCTGCTGAGTGCATGACAGGAAAGTAATGCCTTAAAAAGAATCAGTTTCTGTTATCCAATCTGTGAAATGGCATTTATTTGCTTTATCTTAATGTGGAAACAAAGGCATGCGATCAACATGCAAAAAACAAGGACATTGTCATAAAATGCTATTTCAGTCGAGGAAATTATTTATCCAACGTCTTTCAGAGGATTTCATAATGTTTCCACAACATTTTTGTATGATTCCATGTGGCTTCTGCTCTGCTTGACATGGGTAAGCTATTGAAAAGACCATCAGAGGTTTGCTTCAGCCAAAATGCTGATGGTCGTCAAATGATCTCTTATAAGCTTTCTGTGGAAAAAACACATAAATTAAGAGAGCACCTGAGGACAGTCACCATGGTTTTGTAAAGTCAGGCCCAGACATCCTGAAAAAATGAGTGCCACACTGTTTTATGTTTTCAGATGTGTCCCAACATTCACTTTTGACTCGAGTGACCTATGCATATTGTAAATGGAAGGACATCTTGTTGGAGCAACTAAGATAGGGGTGGACTGTCTGGCTGGGTGTTATTTGTTGTTACATTATATAAATGGTCTATGTTTCTTGGTTCAGTGTGTGATGTTGACCTCTCCATGTGCATGACTCTTTTCCACTCCAGCAGAAATTGTAAATAAGTGCTTCACCTGTCTCTTCATGACCAATGGATCTTCAAGTTCCATTTTGATGCCAACATCAATAAAAAGCCAAACGTCAAATTTGCGATTAAAGGAATAAACAAAAAGATGAAATTTTCTTCACTTCAGAAAACATTTTGAAAAGCTACATGCGGCAACAATAAATGTGTAGATGAGATCATTGTTCAGTGAGCTATGCATTATCATACACAGCAGTTTGATCCCTCATATCAGCCAACATTAATGTCACAACCTTTGTTTGAATTCCCTTTGTCTCTCCTGCCATCCAGCAGCTTGTGTGTTTTTTAGATGAATTGTCCCTTTTGATTGGGTTGATGTCCTGCAAACCACCACCACCCCTCCCCACCAGGCACGATGCCTGTGTGTTCCCCATTCCCTGTCGTGTGTATGGTGTATATAACCATTGAGTTGAGTGCGCAAGTTGCTGGATTGTCACTTGCTATATGCCCTTCAAACAACCAGTCAGTATCTTCCTAGTCAAGAGTTTGTCCATCGTCTTTGGAAATTATTTATAACCTTTCATGATAGTCAAACTCGGAAGTACTCATCCTAGCCTTACTAATAGAAACAAGGTCCCAAGCCTTTCTCTTGGTCTCTAGGATTGGGAATTCATTCCTGTCTACCAGTTTACAGTCTTTTCCTCTGCCCAGTTTATGAAGAACACCTCCCCAGCCCCTCCGTGGTCATCGGGATTTGGATTGTGGTATTGTGAAACTCTCCGGTCCAGCCATCTGACTGTTCTGCTCTGGTGAGGGTGATCTCCAACTGGGTACTGCCCCGGAACGGTACTGGCTGGGCGAGGACATGCCCTATGCCCAAGCCTACTACCATCTGAATTGAACTGTGTCATTCTACTCTGGGCCTCGTCCTGCACAGTCATTTCCGCATTACTATCAATAAACCCTCGTACTGAATTGCATGCTGTCTCTCCATCTGGTACCTTGCCTGGATCAATTTATTGCACAAAGTTTCAATCAAACCAAGGGCAGAAAAGTCCACCTGTTATTGACGGCTTGTGGCTCTTGCAATATTTACATAGCAGTTCTCTCTCTTGTAATCAGCCTTAGACTGTATATCTCAGTCCTTCATTCTTCATCACAGGTTTTCCATCAAAGCAAATCAAAATGAACGCAAAGTAATGTAAAATATTTCTAAGCATAGAGCATTATATTATAATATTGTTTCACTTCTACCTTTTATTTCCATTGAATATGTTGTAGTTCCATCATTTATTGAAAGTTGTTTCCCTAGCACCGGCCAGAAGTAATTATGCATTGCATACACAGTGGAAAATTTTTGGTCCACATTTTGCTTGTTGTGCCATTTTGGAAGCAATTATATAACATGACACAATTTTTAAACTGATCAAATTTGCTGACAATATGCTCCTACATATTATTCAACAAATTCTTCATTATTATGGATAATGGAGTCATAATTGTGCCTATTAGCTCACTGGGAAATATTTTGAAGGAAATAGTCCCAATACAGCTCCCTCAGCACAACGTGCGAGTAATTACTGACATTGTCCTCGCTCTTGTCTCTGTACGTGCAGAAATTAAAAGTATTCATTCTGCAAACTGCTGTAATGGAGGAATCAACTTGCACTCACATTCAGATGGATGAGCTTTTTTCTTTCAAAGCTGAGAGCTCTAGTTTTGTTTTTTACAACCAAAAGTAATCAGAACTCCCCAATTCCAGCAAGCAAACACTTAACTTTTTTTGAAAAGTTGTTGAATTCCCGGTGAAGGCTTGTAGGGGTATACACGTAAACACTGGCCAAATAAATTCTATTGACCTTCCAAAATCATTGTTTTCTTCTGCGTTTGGCAGCACTGAAATCAAAGTTTCTCTCACTTGTGTTGCCAGATAGAATTCCCATGCCATTGAAAAGTGTTTTTCAATGAAACTGATCTTGGAAGGATGTCAATTGATGAACGTTTCAATGGTTGTTTTCAACTGACAATGAGATTGCATGGAGACCATTGTATTATTAGAATACCTGATATTTTATTTCTATTTCTCAGGGACATTCTTTTTTTACTGAAACTAGGCACTTGCACAATATTTCCACTATGCGACTATATGAATATGAGAAATTAATCCATATGATTAAAGCTGTACTCGTCAAAAAAGTGCCATTACTTGTTAAAAATGAACATGTGACAGGAGTTATTTAAGAGTCACGTGAGACTGTGCAGACTCCTGAATTCTTGAGAAATCTTTTGAGAAGTCAATGATATCAATAGACTTGAGACTTGATAAAAAAGGAAATTGTTACATGACGGACAAAATTATGCATGGCAACAAGCACATTGCATTTTCTTTTATTTCATGCAAGCTTACATTACATTCTCCTCTGGGTTCAGGGAGATTAGCAGGAATGGTAAAATCAGACAGAGGAACATCTGGCAAGACAGTATTAGAGTGACTTAATACAAAGGAAATATGCTATGTGAGTTATGAAACTATGTGTGGCGACAAGCATGTTGCAATTCTTTTGAATTCATGCAAGCATACATGACCTACAGTAATACTCCGGGTGCTGAATGCAGACACAGGAACATCTGGTAAGACACTGTTAAAGTGGCTTGATTCACATGGAAAATGCTATGAGAGATATGAGACTGTGTCAAAACATTTCACATTTCCTTTGAATTCATGCAAGCGTGCATGACCCTCCCTTCTGAATGCAAGGAGATCAGCAGGTGTGCTGAATAGAAACAGCGAGAAATGCAGTAAGACATTGCTAAAGACGCTTCATACAAAGTGAATATGCTAAGTGAAAATGTGGGACTGTGTGTGGTGACAAGAATATTACATTTCCTTTGAATTCACTCAGAGCATGCACAACCTTCTCTTCTGAATGCAGGACAATCAGCAAGCCTGTTGAATACAGCTGAAGGAACATTCAGCAAGACACTACTAGAGAGACTTGATACAAAGGAAATATACTACATGAGGTATGAAGCTGTATGGCGAGAAGCATGTCACATTCCCTTTAAATTCATGCAAGTATGCATGAACGTCCTCTCTGGGTGCAAGGACATCAGCAGGGATACTGAATGCAAACCAAAGAGCAAGACACTAATAGAGTGACTTGACACAACAGGAATACGCTATATGAGGTACAAAACCACAAGATGACAAGCTTGTTGCATTTCCTTTGAATTCATACAACCATATATGACTGCTCATTTTCATGCAGTAGATCGGCAGTCATGCTAAATGCAAACAGATGAACATTTTTTTTTTTTTTTTTTTTTAGATTTTTTTTTTTTGGGATTTTCACCTTTATTTGACAGTTGCAGTGCAGAGAGAGACAAGAAGGTTGGGGAGAAGAATGGGGAAGACATGCGGCAAATGACCCGGGCCGGAATCGAACCCGGGTCGCCGCAGTAAGGACACAGCCTTTATGGTGCACGCGCTTAGACCAGTGAGCCACCAGGGCGCCCCGCAAACAGATGAACATTTAGCAAACAGATGAGTTTGTGAGTTCCCCTGAACTGAATAGGAATGCATAAGCCCACCCCCAAAACAAAAACATGTCAGCGGAGTCCAAAGACCTGAGTCTAGCATTTATGGGCCCCTTGAAGTCTGAGGCAATGTACTCCAGTATTTACGGTATTAGCTCAACAAATCAATTGACAATACAGCTAGAGGCTTTAAGATATTTTCACCGAAGGCAGAGCTAAGCTGTCACAAATGAAGCATACAGATGTTGGAGCAGATGACTGGTGAGGCACTGAAAACTACATACATAAAATATGAACACAAGTTAAAATCAAAAGAAAAACAGGGAGTAATGTAAGCAAGCATAATGAGTCATGGCTTGACAAAGTGAAGCAGATGGTGGCAGGGAATCAAGATGGTCAGCATGGGCAGCATGCTGGGCAGCATCCTCTGATAATGGTGGCACTATCTTAGAGCATAAGGAATGAGTCTCGGCATGAGGAGGTGAGGCTGATGCTAGCAAAGTATTAGCAATGAGCCACTGCAGTTGTGGGAGTGTGTTAGATAAGCCATGGTAGGGTCTCCCATGACAAATGGGTCCCAGGTGAGAGGCCAGACAAAATGCGATTCACGAGACTCCTATGGTGTGCTCCCAAAAAGTATGGGAACCTTTCCCGTTTTAGGGCCATCAGGGCCCCTGCCTGGAGCCAGGCCTGGGAGGAAAGTTTGTTGGCTTGTGCCTGGTGGCCGGGTTTGTCCCAAGGCCCAGCCGGCCTCTGCCCAAAGAGCATGCGGTGAGGCGCCTTCACATGGACCCACCACCCACGAGGAGTAGGGGTCGGGTGCAATGTGCATTGGGTGGTAGACAGGCGCAAAGACCCTTGCGTTCTGGGCCCTGGCTATGGAAACTGGCTCTTGGTCCCAGTTGTGATGGCAACCCAAGGACCCATTAGTGGACACCAGCGGCAAGGGACACAGTCATGTTGAAGAAGGTGGCTTTTCAGGCTTGCTTTGCCAGGAGACTCCTGACTCGGCAGACCGGTATCAATGGGCTAGAAAGGCTGCAGCCACAGTGGTCGCAGAAGCAATAACTCGGGCTTGGGAGGTGTTCAGGAAGGCAATGGAGAAGGACTTTTGGGTGGCCTCAAAGAGGTTCTGGCAGTTGAACTTCTGCATTTAATATCTTGAAAAGAGTACACAAGCATGAAATCAATCTACATTGTCATCAGCAAAATTAACCTCCACCTATTTGCGGTATGTAGGGGAAGGACAAACCCAGACATTTTGTTTGTATTATCATAAATTGCCCCAGAGAAGGTAACAAAAAAAAAAAACACAACCTCCATTGCAGGGGGGCCAGATTAGATTCAGATAGGAGGGGAAGTGGAAAAAAAGCCTTTCTCTGCCCCATAATGGCGACAAAGGTTAACCCTGGGAGCAATCGTCCTGGCAAAACAACGGAAATTGCCATACTGCACATAAATGAAATGCTGATTTTTAGTGGGCCGGAGTAGGAGCGGTGTAGAGGGTATGGAGCCAGAGAAATGAGTGAATGCGGCCTTGGTTGTAAAAGCTCGCCAATTGGATGGGACATGCTGAAGTCAAGAATCATTGGACAGAAAGGGGTTTACGATTACACGTAACATCTGAGCCAAACTGAACAAAAGCTAAAGCTCTTTTTATTGATAAGTCATTGATTAATGAATTACCTGATTTTTTTCAGTATTGTCTATCTGGGGCACCAAATTCTGTAAGTTCTGTGAATTAATGTGTCACATCTTGAGTGTTTCAATGATAAATTTTTTCCTTCAGTTTAGATGTATATATCAGTTTTGGTTTTGTTTCATTGATTGTTTTTCAATTTATTCATTGTTTCATTCTATTCCCTTCCCCTTGTATCCTTATGTATTTAAGTTCCTGGTCTTTGTCTCCCCTTTGCTCGACAGCTATCTTCCATTTTTGTTGTCTAACTCAAGAAAAGCTAGTGTCTATTCCTTATGGAAATTCCTCCCAAAGTCTGCGGCCCTGGTGAATGGCGCTTTTCCCAGTTACCTCTGCATCCCAATTCAAGAGTGTGCATCAGCTTAGCATGCCCTGATCCATTCGGCTTAATATCCCAGAAAATGACCTCGGACCAGCCCCTTCTCCTATACTGAGCTAAACCCGTAGTTTAACCATCTGCTGCTGCCTGACCTTGGACCTCCTTCTGATTATTCTTTTTGTTAGTGTTTTGAAAACTCATGTCTCCTAATTATAAAACACACCTATACGGTTTGTTAATTATCTGCATGTGGCTCCAGTTTTCAGAAATTCATGACATTATGTGCTTTCAAATTGTCTTTGATCATTGGAATTTTATGTTGAGCTTTTTAAAAAGCACTGGCAGCTACTTTCCAATTTAAATTCATGGGAAAAGTGACTCTTTAAAGGGATAATGTTTGACCTAACTTCAGTGATAGCAGTAGAGAACAATTGCATTTCATAGCCTGCATCACTAAAACCGCATCGCTGCAAACAACAGCTGCCACATCAACAGCAGCAAGTTGTCCCTAAAAACAACTGCACTTTTAATGGTTTTAATGAATTCAACTAGCATCAGGGTTATTACTAATTTTTTTTAAAAGTACCTCTTTAAAGTTATCTTCCATTTAGACATGTGTGGTGCTGAGCCTGGTCTGGGAATACACCAAATACGTTGTAGAATACCCTTGGTCATCTGGACTGTAAACTGTTGAGTCAATAAAATTCAAGTCAAGCAGCATTACAATGACAATTTCCATGTTGAAAATAAGTTCATGGTTGCAATCTTTTTTATCCAGCATAACTGGCACAAGCACCTCTACTTCTCTTAAGGGCATGCAGTCTGTATTGTGTCAGTGGAACTGAGGAAACTGAGAGAGTCAGTGACTCACTACCTGCAAGGAGGTCGATCGCCTCCCACTGAGAAATGCATCTCTCTCTCTCTATCGCTGTGTCTCTCACATCCTATAGACTGTAACTCCCTGTCTCTTTCTCTCCCCCATTTCACTCAGCGTCCTTCTCTCCCTTTTTCCTTCCTCTTCCTTTTCTCTTTATTTTGCAGGGTTTGACATACAATATGCTAGTTGCAAATTAAAATATCAGGATGAAATTTCCATTGTAAGCATCATGTGACCTCTGAAGTTGTCTGCATTGTATCATAGTCAGGAGCTGAAAACATAAGTCCTCATGAAAATGAAAAAGTGGAGAAATACAGCAAAAGTTTTATTGGGAATCTTGCTTACCCTTCAATCACTGGTTCTAGTAACAGTGGAATGACTTAGTCGTTGAGGACAATGCCTTGTTTTGCCCAGCTATTCCACCAGGCTGGTGTGTGACTTGATGTAGGGATTTGTGAGGAAGTAACGGTTAATTAAAATGGATGCCTAGACTAAAAATACAACACAGGCATGTGGTTACGAAACACCGCAATCAATGAGTGTGAAGCTCGGTCTTATATAGGCCAACAGTACCAGACAGTGGGCATAGGAAATAAATGCATGCAATGATTGCAGGAGAGAAGAATGCAGTCTGGGACTTAATAGGCCGGTGAGCTGGAGGGCTGGAGGCGTGGTCTTACACTTTTTGACAACTGACCTGAAACTATTCACTGTGCACTCCACAAATATTGGTATCCTTGATAATTATTATCTAGAGGGCTATGAAAATATTTGTTTACTGTTCATTCTCCCAATTTTAAATTCAAAGTATTAACAAAAATCTAATCTTGAATTGAAAGAAACTGATTGAGGCCAAAAAAAAAATCTGATCTTAAATGTCTCCCAAAAGATATTTCTCCCAGACACACACGTGCCAAAATTATCGGCATCCCTAGAAATCCTTGCGAGAAAGACTGAATTAAAGTATATTCCTATTCATTTTTTACTTTTTTACGTTCACCATAATGAGTGAGAAAACTTAAATGGTCTTTCATGGCTTCCGGTTTGAGTATAAATATGGGGTGAGACATGCTCAGTTTTCTTTTGTGATCCACTGTCATGTTATGACAAATGATTAAAGATATGATGTGTGACAGAAAGTTGTTGAACTTTATAAATATGAAAGTGTCTGTAAGAAATAAGTCAAAAGTTGAAAATGCCCATTTCAATTCTCGGGCAAACAATTAAGCTGTTTAAGGCACAAGGCATTGTTAATTATCCACTTGGAAGAGATGTGTGCCTATTTTGATTGCATTCACCGTGGGGAGGATGGTGTATCCAGAAAAATAATCTCCAGGGACTGCAATTGGAAAATTACAGATATATCTCATGTCAAAGTCTCCAAAACTACAATCATACGTATGTCATCTACACAACTACAAAATGCTAGAGAGAATTTCCAGAAAAAAAGCTCCTACTGTCATCTAGAACTGAATTGTGCTCTTCAAATTTGACAAACAGCACTAGAACTTCCAATGGGACCGGGCCGTGTGGTCAGATGAGACCAAAATAGAACTGTTTAGCAATATACACTAGAGTTAAGTTCGGCATAAAAACAAAAATAGCTATTTCAACAGGAAGCCCCATCTCAACTGTGAAGTACCTCTAAAGCCCACCAGTCTTTTTATCTTCTAGCTTTGAGCTAAAGCATTTCTTTTGTGTATATTTGGTACTTTATAATGATAGAGAAACACATAAATTCTCTTTGGAGTCTTAATGATTAGAACAAACTTCCAAGCCTTAATATTAGTCTCCAGGACCATTCACTCATTTTCCATTCCAGTCTGTTCCTCTTAGCCCGTTCATTAGGAACACCTCATAGACCTTCAACAGTCTGCAGGATTGGGACTGCATCCTTGATGAACTCCTCGGACTTAAATTCAATCGCTCCTGCTACGGTGAGGGGAATTCACTGCCAGGCTTCTTTCCCAGGACAGTAACTGGCCAGGCATGGACAGACCCCCAACCCTCTCCAGTTCACAACAACCCAGCTGGACTTACTATTCTGGGCCTCGGCCTCACAACTCCCACTACCATCCGT